TTCCTAACCTTCTGAGGTTTTCCTCTGCACACATTGTTGCTCAGGCAGTAAATGAGTAGGCAAGTCGTTCCAACATGCAAAGCTTATTTTCCGATACCATTTACAGCAGGAATGCAACCCACTAACTTATGTATTGCATGGGCACTCAGAATCCAACAACGTACAGTTTGCATTTCCTTCACTTCCTCCAAGTCTGATCATAGCCTTTAAAACCATGAGATGTTACCAGAATTGGGATTTAATGCTGTTCCCACTCCTTTCATAGGATTCCACTGGATGTTAGGAACAGGAGAGCATTTGGCCCATCAAGGCCGCTCTGTCACAGACCATCCCCTGGCTCTTATACAGGGCATGGGAAGTGAAACATAAACTTGAGATCCCAGTTCAAGCTGAGACTCTCAGCAGTACTGGTAAGGGAGAAAGTTCTGCATTGTCTATTGGACATTGAAGCAAGCCTTTCTCAGATGGATGCTAAAAATCCCAAGCACTATTGGAAAAGAGAAGGAAGTTTCTCCTGGTGTCCTGGCTTACATTCCTCTAGACTAACCGGTCATTCGCTTCATTGCGGTTTGTGGAACATTAATTGTGTAAATAGCCACTCCAGTCGCATTCAAAAACGATCATTTGACAATAGTTTTTTGTGAAGTGATTTGAAGCAATTTTCATTGGTCGGTCAACTGTTTGTCACATACAGAAACCCATCATTGTGCTTGAGAGTAGCCAAAGCAGACAATAATTTCATAAAGAGTAATCACAAGAAAACACTTCTGAGAGGCAAAGATTCAAGACTAACACTTTTGGCATCTTGCTATTCAATGATGTACTTCAGCTCCAGTGTGATGGGCACAAGGAAACTGCTGATAACTCACTCAAGTCTATACTGCAAACTCTTGTTATGCTCATATCTACATGACAGGCTCCAGGCTGGGGTAATCAATCTATCTGGCGATGGATCAACCATTTGTCTTACATCTTATCTTCAAGAGGGACTGCCACCATATAATGTACACTGTCCAATAGGTGATCTTTCATCCCCACTTTCTCTCCGGGCTCATACCTCGATGAGGAGGACGAAATCCAGTTGGACCAACCTGAAGTATCAGCAAGTTTCCCAGTCTGGAAACTGCACTTATATACAACCCTGTTCTAATATACTTTCTAATTGTGCAAATTTGGTTGCAGCACAGTTGCAGTGTGGACCCCATTCACTACATATGCACTCAGCGGATTTACATGCTTCCCACATACCAACTGGCTTTCACGCTCAAATTAGCTGACTTCCATGCCATAAAGTCACTTTCCCTTTTGCTGTTTATGCACGTCAGTGGTGACCTGAGGACCTGCAAATCATCAATTCTTTTTTCGTGAGGGAACCAACCAGAGCCCAGGGAGTAAGCCATTACTCCTTTAATGGATGTGTTCATGTGCAGGGATGTGTTCACTGGCTATTGAGCCACAGTTGGGGATTTCAAAAACCATGCTTTACTACATTCCCTTCACTACAGTGACTTTCACAAAGGAAACATATCTCAAACTGCTTAATAATAATCCTTGCAATTGATGCAACATATTATCACATCATCAAGATGTCCCAAAGTCCTTCATAGGAATTACTGTAAAGTGTTCCCAGACTGGAACACAAGAGTTCCCTGATTGTGTAGTGTGTAGGTGAACTCAGCAGCCAATTTATGCATAGCGGGAGAAACTCTATTTTCAATAGTGCCATGGGATCTTTCTCCACTAAGCAGGCAGACAAGACCTCAGTTTTAATATCTAATCTGAAGTATGGCACCTCTGACAATGCAGTACTCCCCAGCACAGTATTGGAGTGTCAGCCTAAACTATGAGCTCCAAGATACTTTTAAACCCACAAACTTCTGATTAGAGGTGAGATCACAACAAATTGAGCCAGGCTGACTCCTTAAACACCTAATAGAGACAGTGGGAATCACAAAGAAGGAAGGGGAGGAGACATATTTGAGGATGCTGACAAGTTTTTAAGAGGGTTTTCAAAGCAAGGAGAGAAGGTAAGATAAAAGGATTTGGGGAGAGAGTTTCAGGATAGTGACAAAGTCGCTGAAGTTGAGAAATTGATTGTCAGATAGGGTAAGGAAGAGCAACAGGACAGAGTTGGGGAAGGATGAAGGTACAGCCTTGATCTTTTGTAAAATATCAGGAGAATCATCGTACAAAAGGCAGTAATTGCACCAATCTGACCTGTTTATTTGACTGGAAAGAATGCAATAAGATCTTCCTTGCAGTTTCCTCCTTATACCCCAGTCAACTATAATCTGAGAATGAAGCACTTCATTGCTCAGCTATGTAGCTTAATCCAAACCTCAGAAACTTCTGCGATTCTACCTATCAGTGTGACATTTCGATTTCCCGCAGCCCATCTATCTGTGCAGCTCCTCTGGGTGAGAATGTTAAATTAGTTCAGGCTTGTGCTGAAGCAAAGCAAATCTTTCCTTTGCCATCATTTCCACCAGGAATAAGATTGTGATGGTTTGACAGCATTTCATCCAGGAGACTTTCCATTTCATTGGGGTGAATTTTAACCCACATTTCAGCAACAAAGAGAATGACATATCCTACATTTTAGTCCCTACCTTGGTTACTACTCAATTTAATAACCTGCATTGCTGTCGGAAACTTTGAATCATTCTTGTTTGTTATTGTATTGAAACGTCAATTTATCTGCATCTCATGTATTCATCTTCCTGACTTTTTGCACAGTGGAAAGATGGCTCAATAAAGGTTTAGATTTCAAAGGCCTTAACATTATTTGGTCCCCACATTAACCTACTATCTTTACATTTCAGCATTAAACAGTTTCTTAAAATGTCTTGGAATGATTAGGTAAACTAGGATTCTTCTAAAGCAACTACTACAAAAAATTGCATTTATATAGTTCCTTTCACATCAGGAGGATGTCCCAAGGTGCTGGACAATGAGGTGTTTGCTGCGAATTGGGAACAGAGTTAAGATGACCGAAGGCATGATCGAAAAGGAATGTCTTGAGATGGGCTTTGCAGGAGTTTCCTGAGGGTGGGGGATGAAATGCCAAAGTCCCAACTGTTGATGGTGAAGCAGGTAGGACTGGACCAGTGCCTGCTGAGTAGAGGGAGCGGATAGGTTATTGAAGTTTTGATAGTTCACAGATGTAGGGCGGAGCAGACCATGGCAGACTTTAAAGGTAAGGGCTAAGATCTTGATCCTCTGGGGGATGGGGAACCAGTGAAGCCAAGAAAGGAGGTGGTGATTGGCTCACGAAGCTGAGTGCAGGAAAGGACACAAGCTGCAGGGTTCTGAATAATCTGCAGCTTGTGGAGGGAAGAATTGGGAAGTCCAGCGAGCAGGGAGTTAGAGTAGTCAAGCCTGGATGTAATGAAAGCATGAATGAGAGTTTCAGCAGCCTGAGGGGAGAGATAGTGGCAGAGTTGGACAATATTGCAGAGGTGGGGGAAGGCAGAACAGGTAATGGCATAGATGTGGGGTTTAAAAGACAGTTGAAGGTCAAACAAAACACAAAGATTCTGTACTGAGTTGGCGAGGTCGAGAGTGCATCCATGAATAGCGATGCTGTCATTGCCTGAGGTGGGGAGGGGCTGACTGGAGCTAAGCAGGAGAGCCTCAGTCCTGTCAATAGTCAACAGTAGGAAATTGGCTCTCATCCAGGATATGACATCTGACAGACAATCCATCAGAACAGCAATGGTCCTGGAGTCGAGGTGGAGGCAGATAGATAGAGTTGGGTGTTCTCCACATACATGTGGAAATTAATCCCGTGCCTATGGATGATATCATTGAGCATGTAAATATTAAAAACTACCTTCTGAAACATCTCACAAGGAACCTTATAGAAGTACAGAAGATACTGAATGGGACAGAGAAAGCAAAGCCAAGGAGAGAAAACTTTGCCTGATTTTTCCCTCCTTAATCGAGGCTAAGGCTTAGTGTAGCTCAGTGGTTAGAGTACTCGCTTTGCAAGTGAGAGACCTGAGTTCAATTCCAGGCAGAGGGCAACACCTTGGGCAAGTTTCCTTACTCCACACAGAGCCTAATAATAATCCCTCCAAAACCAAAAACAATAATAAATTGATCATTTTCAATCTACGACTGTTTGTGGGACATTGCTGTGCGCAATTGGCTGCCGCGTTCGCCCACAAATATATACAGTCAATTCACTTTACAGTGTGTTCTGTGAAGCACTTTGGGACGTCCTCCCGACGTGAAAAGCGCTATATCAAATTCAAGGAAAATGCAAGGATTATTATAACTGTTGGACTGGCTGAGATCAGCTAACTCAGCAGTTTCTAACCTTGCCATCTGTATATCCTAATGGTACCCACCAGGCTATTGGTACCCACTAGGCTTCTCGGAAATTTTTTGTAAAAGGCAATGTAAGCAAAATTATCGATGACAGAGGCATAAGTAACATAGGAACAGGATAAGGGCATTCAGCCCATTAGGCTTGTTTCACTGGCTTATTAAATCATGGCTCATATTCCAATCTCATTTCCTCACCATTTCTTCATACCCTTTAGTACCTTTACTTTCCAAGTGCCTATCTCTAGCTGTTAACCCTTTTAAGATATTCCAATTGATTCTGTCTGTATTGCCTTCTGGTCAGTGCACCTCTGGTGAAGAAAGACTTTTAGATCTGCATCACAGTAAATGTGCTTTAACCAACTGCCCCAACTTTAGTTATTCCAAATTGCTTGATGTCTTATCATGAAAAACATTAGCAGTTCTAGATCTACAGGAATAGACTGAAGACTTCATTACCATAAGTGCCAAGGAATCAAATCTTCACTTGACGAGCTCAATGCTCCTAGAGCTTTCATCTCAGTTTTCTTGTTGAGATCTGAAGTGGCTTTTCAAATGGGAATATGGGTGGGGTTGGAAGAAATAAAATCTTCTTTCTTTGATGAATTCCTGCTTTGATCTTGGTATGAGATATGAGTGGCAGACAGTGATAAGTAAGGAAAATGCTGTACCTGTAGATGATGCAGGCCGTGTTCTGACACGTGCTGCAATTACTGAGGTCCTGGCCTGTTCGGTAGAAGTTCCTCCTATAATGCAAACATTGACATAAAGTAAGAGAGTTGGAGGAAAGATATTTAGCAACACAATGCTGTAACAATAGTCAGGACACAAGTCCTTTTCTCTTCTGTTGAAAAGAATATTTGAAACATCTCAAAACCGCTACAGTGTGTGTACTGGAATCATACTTGTGGAAAAAGACTGATACTGCCTTCTCCACATGCCTTTCAATCCAGCAAGAGAAGTTTTTTGTATCACAATAATGTTAAAACTGCTCCACTCAGAGTTCAAAGGCTGTGCACTTTGGGGAAGGGAACAGATACAAATTTTACCCATCTCATTTACAGGGACAAATTACATGCCAGACTCTTCAGGTTGGTGTCTTACCTCAGCCTTTCCACCCTGCCCATATATACTGGCAGCAAATCACCTGCCCACATGCCGGCAAGAGGAATTTCATATCTCTGATTTATTTTTGCTTTTAAAATTTGCAACATAATAATAAGCTTTGCATTTTGATATAGTGCCTTATCACGCGATCGAGACGTCTCAAAGCGTTTCACAGGATATACAGTACTACAAATTGGTGTGACTGTGTGTTTTGTGGGCAACAGGATTTGTGCAAAGCAGTCACGGAACGAGTGACCAATTTTATTTGGGACGATTGTTTGCCAGACATCCCTTGATATAAAAAATTTGGGCTGAATGATGAAGCTGCAAATTAATCATTGCCTCAGATGGGATTGAGGAGGCAAAGCTAGAGGTTGCACGTTATTTATTATAATATGGCTATCTGCTATCTGTAGGGTGTTTTTGTATGTGTATGGGTTTGTGTGCACGCGTGTATGAAGGGGAGAATCTTGTGCTCATTAAGGCAAGGAATGCCTGTGCTGTGAGGTTGAACATTTTACCTGTTTCGGAAACAGTGTGGCAGCAACAAACATGTCCAGGTAAAGTACCACACAGTGAAATGCAGAGAATTTCTCCTTTCTCCCCATCCCCTCCAATTAGATCGATATAATGGTAAAACAGGAGTGGCATTTTGCCCTGGAACCTGCACTTAATTTTGAAAGCTTCATGTTCACCTTTGCCACAACACAGGCCGCTCTCATTAGAATCTGCAGACCTGAGGGCAAATGCACACTTTTCTGCCAATCAAACCTCCCAGCATAGGCAGAACAGGCTGCATGAGAACAGCCGCTACTACATGGAGGAGCCGGGGCACTGGAGGAGCAGCATTAGATATAGCCGTTAACCTAGTTAGAGCGCAACAATCTCAGGATTTCAACAGTGTGTGTTAACGCGGATCAGCGCCTATTGGTTTCTAGTCTTTTCACAAACTTATTATCGGGATGAAATCTGGGATATTTCAGATCTCAATCGGAATGTCAGATCTTCACACTGAAGATTGAGATTCTGTGCATTGAGATGCTGCTAAGAAATGTCACAAAATGTATTGGTGATGAAAATCATTTCAACCTAAAATAAGCTAAATTCAACCCAAGTGTTTGCCTGTTTGACCCCGCCACCTCCTCCGGGATAGGAGAGGATTAAATTGGAGAGAATTGCCTTTTATTTGGTTGCCAGTTATCTCCTCCATTTCTCATGAAGGTGTTTGACTATTTTATCCATCTACAAAGGTACATTTCCACAGGTATCAGTCAGTCATTCTCAGCTACTTAATGCAAGTGGTCATTGTTCATGTGTGAGCTCTTTGTTTTTTGGTCAGCCAGATGTCTGATACATGTGAAAACCCATCGCCATGGATTCAAAACCAGATAAGTATATCATCTAAACATGGGAATTTTGCTGCAGCCAGAATCTTAACCTTTGCCCTCTCTCCTTGGAGGGATGTATCCTGCTTACCTGGACCCAGAGAATCTCAAGACTCAAATTTGGCAAGAGCTAAGGCTTGGAGACCCCAGACTGTGCATTGAGGTGCTGCTGAAGTATAAACAGCTAGACCCACGTAGCTTACCATTGAGAGCACTGTCTGGCAAGCTTTGCAGTGCTTTTCCAGTACAACCACCCTATCCATTACAACTTTGGCGTGCAGGGTTAACAGGAGCTGAGTGGAAAGACTCCCTGCTCCCAGTCTGCTCCTCCAAGTTCTGGCTGGTTTATCATCAGCAGTGCCCTGGAGTACTGTTATCTCGCCTGACTCATATTGAGAATGCACAGAGGGTTGATTTGATTCTGACATTCCATTGCCAAGCACCTTGCATTGGAGCAGCTCTGAAGAGACTCCACTTATGTTCCCTTCCAGGATGATATTCATGAGGGAGCCTGGCCAGGAAATTTAACCACAAGTGACATTACAACCAAATCTGATTGTTTTCTCACCCAATGTCCACACATAATCACTGTAAAATAGTCTAATTGAAGTAATAAAGAAGATTTGTAGACCCAAATGCTATCTTGGCTATCTCAACTCAGACCATGTGCAACCCTGCAACCTTCCAGACTGTACGGGCTCTGAAAAGTAATTAGCATTAATTAATTGAAAGGATATCATCCATCTGTAGCATGCAAAAGACCTTTCCTGGTGTCGTGGCCAACAATCCTCCAAATAAAATTGGTCATTCACTTCATGGCTATTGTGGGACATTGTTGCGTACATTGTTACATGGCTGTTGTGGGACATTGCTGTGTATACAATGACTGACTGTTGTGTTCGCCCACAAAACACATACTACACTTTACAGTTTATCCTGGGAAGTGCTTTGAGACATCCTCCCAACTCGAAACGCACTATAATTTATGCTTTGAGAAGACCTAGGAACCCAAAGAAATATCAATGAAACTTGGAAGCAGAACAGTGGTGGGATTCATTAAAGCAAGTGCCAACACCACACAATATTGATGAGGAAGAACCCACATCATGATTGATATGGATAGTCTAGTATAAACTATCATGTCAGCCATCAGGAGATGGTTGCTGAACACTGGGGAGGAGAGGCAACCAATTTAAAGTAGTGAAAAACATTCAGGATAAGAATCTCTCATTCAGAAAGAGAAAATGCTTTTCTCTTCATTCTCAACCAACAGTGTATTTTACATTGCTGATAAATCCATAACATTCCAACCAATTCAATCTCTACAGCCTCCACCTCTATATTCCACAATGCTCTGTCCAAGAATTCCCACGAGGTATGATGGATAGGTTGAGGAGACAGTGTCTTTTTTTGGATTCCTGCTTGCAGCAAGAAGCATCTGCCCTGTCCAAGAACTTCATCCAAACAACTTCATCATTCACATTCAGGAGACACTGGCCAAAAAGATATTTTTTTAAGTGCCACAGTCCATGATGACTTACGGTCAAACACAAAATTATTCCTTAAAGCTGCTAAAAGTTTCAACTCTCAATGAACTCAATAAATAACACTATATTTAGCATGTCTCTGCTGAATATGTCGGTGTCTGTGCTTGTGATCATCACAAAGTACCCGGGGGAAGAGGGATGATTAACACATCAACCAAATCAGACTATGGTTTTAACACTTAAGGTGCCACAGATTGACAGAAAGAATCCTCCGCTCTCTACCTCCTCATTTCAATACACTGCAACTCGGAAACCCTCCATAAACATTTCAAAATAACACCATTGAAACACCCAGAGAGCTCAATGAACCCTACAATTAACCCTGATCTAATATTAAAATCTTAAACCTCTTCCCCATTCACTCCATGTTCTTTTAAAAATTATTTGCTACCTTATCCAAGCTTTTTTTTTCCATCTAAGCATGTGTTTAACTTTAAAATTAATTTCTTCCTTTTCCGGCTCCTGGAGGCTGAGGTAGAGCAGAAGCAGATTTTGTTAAATGTTAGTCTTTGCAGCTAATGAAAGGTGAAGATTAATAGATCACACAAGAGAGGTTTGGATCAAAAAGATTCTTCAGTACATTTGGTATCATTCATCCAAGATTAACAAACATCATTAAACTGTTTCTTACACAAGCAAAGAGACTTACCCTGAGGCCAGTCTGTAACTCTTCAGCCAGGAGAACATAGGAACATAGGAACACGAGTAGGCCATTCAACCCTTCAAACCTTTTCCACCATTTAATTAGACCATGGCTCATCTGTACTTCAATTAATCCTTTCAATTCCAATTTCCCGCTTTCTCCCCATATTCCTTAATACCCTGACCCACCAAAAACAAACGCCATCAGTAAAGTACCTCCAACATATACAACTGGATAAGGGTTTGCAGAGATTAAGAAGTTCTACATTGGGTCTAGTCTAGGGTGACTATATTTTGTTAACCAAATTTTGGGGACACATATAAAAACAGATTGAACTTGCCACAATTCCTCATGCTGGAGAAGCTTGTTGGAATAACTAGCACTAGCCTGGTTCGAGTCAAACTACCTTCACTTTGCCTCTTCAGTTTTTCCTCCCGCCCCTGCCCAGTCACCCGTGGAGTGTCCCAAGGCTCCATCCTAGCCCCCACCCTCTTTCTCATCTGCATGCTCCCTCTTGGTGATGTAATCCGCAGACATGGGGTAAACTTCTCCTCATCCAGCTACGGCTCCAGGTCCGCTGATGTTCTGTTGGCTTGTCTGGTAGACATCAGGATAAGCGCAAACTTCTTGCAGCTGACGATGACAAGACGGAAGCCATTACTCTTTGGCTCCTGTCAATGTCTTCTGTCCACCGGCTCTGACCTCCTCAACCCCCCCGCCTCTCCCTCAGACTCACCGAACCGCTGCGCAACCTGGACGTCAGGTTAGACCCACAGCTGTCCTTCCTTTCCCACATCTGGTCCTTGACTAGTACTGCCTTCCTCCACTTCCATCTCCACCTCTATCACATTGCCAGCCTCTGACCTTACCCCAGACACAGCCGCAATATTTGTCCATGCGTTCGTCACCTCCGACCTGCTTAATCCTCAACCCACTAACCTCTGCTTCCACTCGACTGGCTCTGGCTTCCTGCATGTCCCTCGTGCCCTCTGTTCCACCATTGGTGGCCGCACTTTCAGCCATTACGCCCCAACACTCTTCCTCTGTCCCTCCACCTTGCCCCTTCCTTCCCCATCTTCAGATCATGCCTGAAGACCTTTCTCTTCGACCGTGCCTATGGTCACCTCTCCCGGCTAGGCTGCAAGGTCCATTTAACATTAGTACCTGAAGATGTGGACTGGCTCTACATCACTGTCAAGCGCTCAGGGAAGCTACCCAGCGTGAGGTGAGCTATATAAATGGAAGTTGTTGTTGTAGTGTCTCAGAGCACTGAACATTTGAATATTTGCAAAATATTTCAAAATTCCTCACACAACAAGTGACTTATGGAGGCAAATGTGATAGTCTGCACTAATGATGCCCCACAAACAACAAGATTACATTTGTATGAGATGAATGACTAATAGTCTGTCTTGAATGAGAGAGCACTATCCCAAAATATTGGGAGAAATTCCATACTCTTTTTCCCATGTTAGTGGCAAAGGATCTTTTAAAGTCAACACAATCACCCTGAATAATCAGATAAGATTTTGGTTCAACAGATAAAGGAAGTCGCATAACAGCATTTCCTGTACTTCATCCAAGTTTTTCATGCAAAAAGCATATATGCGATTGATTATATATGGTACTAAATATCTACATTTTTGCTATTATAATGGGGACTATTACTGAGCAAATCTCAACCAAAAGATGGGTCCTTTGGCATTACAGGGCTCCTCCAACACCTTGCTGGAGTGAGAATTCAGAGTATGAGTCAATATGGAGCTTCAATTCAGAAACCCCTGACCTGGATGTGAATGCAGCAGCAATTGAGCCAAACTGACCAAAAATAATCAGATCTAGAGCTGGAACAGGACCTTAGGACATAGCAAGCAAAATTGGATAAATTGTCATTTCTCATTGGTAGATGCCAGGGAAGTGTACCCATTCTGTGGTGCTTACACCCTTTCATGTTGTTCACTCATTGGGTGTTATTTATTCTCCATTCAACATTAGGTTATCACTAAATGTATGGGAATAAATGAGTAAAATCCACTAAATGGGAGAATAGAGCTTTGTCCACATCAATGAACATCATAGGGAGCCTGAAAAATAGAATAACCACCCCAGAGACTACAAGCCTAGGCACTGGGACCAAGACCGATCAGTCCCAAGATATGTCAGGACAGGAGCATTTTTGAAGCATTTTTTTTACATAGAGGGAAATTAAGAGCTATTAATGCCTTACCAGGAGTGAAAGGTGGTGGATGCCAGGATGCAGGACTCTTAACAAAGAGCTTGATGCAGTAACAGAATGGTTGTTATTCTAGAACAATGAAATCAAATGAACCAAACTGCTTCTCCAACTGCCCTGTGCCCACTGAGCAGTGCGGCCGTGAGCAAGAGCTCTTTGTTGGGCTAGATTGTTGAAGAAACGGGCAGCAAACGAACATCTTCAGTGAGTGCTGGCAGGCTGTGAAAATGCAATGCAAATGAGACGTAGCCATGATCTCCACTAACCCCACTTTCCCAGAGTGATCTCCTGTAGAGCCAGTCCACATCTTCAGGTACTAATGTTAAATGGACCTTGAATGTCACGCTAGTCAGGTTTGTAAAGACCTTGGACGTGAGGCCATAAAGTATGTTGACAGTTAATGCAATATTGTCAGCACAATGAGATTTTTATGACCCTCTAAAATTTTTTTTTGCATACTTGTAAAGCTTCAGCAATTCAATGCTGCAGATCCAGATATCTGGGTCAGAACAGAGTTACACTTCTAGAATTACAAAACAACATCAGCTCTCACTATTTTCCGTTAAAACTACTGGCAACGCGTTCTGTTGTGAGACATTACATCAGTGAAGCCGAACTGTTGAGAGTCCCACTTTAAGAAGAAAGTCAAGAGACCCTATGAATTGCTTGTGATCATTATCTCTTTCAAATTAACTTTACTCAATATATATTTTTATACAAGGGAAATCATGAAGTGAGCAGTAATCTGAATACTTATCCTGAACCATTGGTTATTTTGGTGGCTGTAAGTAACACGTCATTTGCACTTGATAGTTGGAGGACTGGGACTGTGTAAAGGGGAGAGGTGGGGGCTGAGAAAGAGAGGATAAACAGTGTTGCACTGACAGTATAATTCCTGATGCAAGAAGATGTTAGTCATTTTTACTATGAATTGTATTTCTGGTTATGACATAAATTTACAAGGTTTCCATATACACAATGGGCTGGTCCCAAATAGATGGGGGAGGGGGTGGGGAGAGAGGGGGAACTCATTAAGTGCTCCTATCTTTTTGTTCCTGCCCATATCCCAAATGGAAAGAAAAAAGGAGCAAATACTTTTAGGAGATGAGATTACAGAATAAAAACTCTCTGTCTCCTTTTTAAATGTTTGTGTTTTTCTTATTGGAGAAGAGCTCGATCCCTGCCCTTGGGAGCCCAGGGAAATCTGTGAATTCACCAGTAGACCGCTGCACCACACATCAGCTAAACCCTTACTGGTGTTTTATATAAGCAGCTTTCTGAAGTATTCTGCTGACAAAAAGAGACTTTTCTTTTGTAACTAGCACAGCAACTCTTCTCCAACAGTGGCTCAAAACACAACCAGTGCCACTCACTCTTTACAAACTTGATTCCTTTTGATTTCTAAGCATTTCAAAATGTTTGGATTTTCCTCTTCTGACATTTTGGCAGTTTTACAGTTCTCAATTCTTTGGTACGTTGCCTAGCAAGTAGTTCATCATATGCAAACCTAGACAGTGACATCAGCCTATTTGACTGTAGAAAGCATTGCATCCCAGCTTGACCTCCATCCTGACTCAATGTTACATACATACATACATAGAAATAAAATAATCCTTGCATTTGATAAAATGCCTTATCATGTCATCAAGGCATTTTAAAGCACTTGACAGGATATATTGTAAAGCAATGTGACTATGTGTACTTTGTGGACACAACAGCCAATTTGTTCACAGTACAGCAATGTCCCATAAACAGCCATGAAGTGAGTGACCGATTTTATTTGGCGGATTTGTTGGCCAAGATACCAAGAAAAAGATGGTTTTTTTTCAAATAGTGCCATGTTATCTTTAACATGCAACTGAACAGGCAGATGTGACCTTGGTTTAATATTTAATCCGAAGGATGGTACCTCCAAATATGTAGCACACCCTAAGCAATGTGTCAGGGAATCAACTTAGACTATATGGGTGCCCAGTCCTAACTTGGGGCCCAAGCCCACAGCCTTCTGACACAGAGATGAGAGTGCGCCAACTGAGCCAAGCTGACACACCCCTACCAAATCTTCCAACAGTAATCACTGAATAAGAATGAGGAGCTAAAACTCTGACTGATTTATTATTCCTTCCATGATGCCAAATCGAATTCTAGCTCAGTGCAGGGACTTTACCCGCCTGTGTGATCAGCACCATAGCAGGAGGTCAATTTACCCACTGAACCATTGTGGAGCCCATTTTATCATGTTTTCTGTCATGCTTTTGCTGTGTAAAACCTCACCAGTTGTTAGTTTCAATCCCTTTGAGTTCAAGCTGTCAGGCAATTAGTATTTGCACCTGAGTGCCTGCCAAGACTTCTATGAGTGATATAATCAATCTGTTGCCAACTACTTTAAATATGTTCCAACATTCAGTATGGCAATGAGCAAAACACCAGTTAATCTCCTTTAACATTCAATGCGATGTTGGCGGGGGCGTGGAGGTATTAGATTGGAGATGCACTTTACAGGGTAAATTTAGAAGCTCTGGAAGAGCTGACAATACATATTCAGATATCATCTGGGAATTGAAAATTAGATGTCCTGGTCAAATTTGTACAGCGAATGGACACTTAACTAGACAGTATATCTGTTCTTTTGATAATTTTTCTCCCACAAATCCACTTTCGAGTGTATCCTGTGAAGCGCTTTGAGACCTCTCGATGGTGTCATAAGTCGCTATATCAAATGTAGTTATCAATAATAAGTGTGGTGCATGTGTGGTCTTTTATAACTGTGAAATATGGCGTATCAATGTTGACATCTAAGCATCAACTTTGACCATTCAGGGTGACATGATCCTGGAATAATGATGATTTTTTGCACCAACTTGCAAGGATAGTGATGTACAATTGATGTCAAACTGGTAGCATGCAATTACTAAAATTGCCACCAACACTGACCAAATCCACCCACCTGGATGGCTCAATGGTAGACATCAGTGTTTCCCATTTCTAGGCTTGCCAGATTCAATACAAAATTAGTAACATATTGCGAATAGTGGGGTCAAAAGTGAACAAGAGGAGCTTAAAAATGAGTAACACACCAATGGGTGTCCAAAACACCACTTTTACTAAGGCAGCAGAGGATGAGTCTCTGTTTTATGGCTTCTAAAAATGGCAAAATTGTCACTGGAAAAGATAGATACAATTTTTAAAAAAAAATTTGATGAAGGGGTGGGGGGTGGGAATTGGAAAAAAAATGGGAAAATTAATGATAATTTGGTCACTCAATCTATGACTATTTGTGGGACAATTGGCTGCCGAGTTTTGCAAAATATTCACAGTCAATTCACTTTACAGTGTATTCGGTGAAGTGCTTTGAGACATTTCAACGTGATAAGCCATTTTATCAAATGCAAGGATTATTATTATAGGCAAAATTCTGAGAAAAAAAAGTGATTTCCTGCAACACTACTCATTTCTTAATGTCTCTGTACCAGTATTTATTTATTTGACCCTCTGCACCTTTCCTCCTCCCCAATTACACCTAGGAATGGCCCCTCTTTTTTTGCAGAGAGAAAAAAAAAATCTATATTTCTACTCTTTCACTTCACAACTTCCCAGAGCACGAATGGACCAAATTGATACCTCAAAGATCAGAATCTAAACTTGTTCTTCACTATCTATGGCATTAAATATGTCTCTTAATTTTCTGGCAAGCAGCGCAGTACATTAAGAGTGCGCAATGTGATTCCAAGCATAGTTAAACATGGCATCGTACCCTTCATTGAGTGCTTTGATTTTCTCCATATCTTGAATTACATTCAAGAGGACTTTAATCTTTTGTTGGTTTGATTGTAAAGTCTCCTCAATGGACTGCATCCTTCCCTGCAGGTCATGCAAGTCATCCCTAGTGAGATGAATTTGATTGATTTCCTTAATCCTTCTGGTAACTTGAGATTTTATTTTCATCGTAGGAGAACGTGAATGATTATGAACAGGTGATAAAGAGCTTCCAGTGTTTAGTAGCCCCTGCTGAACACCATTTAATGAGTTCAGTGGTAAGGAACAAGGTAATCCTGAATAATCAGTCCCCGTCAATGGCATTGACGTTTGATCAGCTTCTGAAGCCAAAGGCTCAGGATGAAATGGTGGGGCCTCTGGTCTGTCATTGTCTTTATGAAGGAAGTTGGATTTGCTGGACCTAGATCGCTGTTCAGTTTGAGTTAAATCAGAAAGCCCTGTGGATCTCAATGTTTCGGACTCCAACTTGTGTATGCTAGAACAACTATAACAGCGATTATTCTTGCGCTCGGTAGATTTACATAGAGGGGATCCTGGTTTGCGGTGGGCATGGCTATGGTTTGTTTGGTTGTCCAATGTCAAGCTTTTGGAGTGGTGTATAACTTTGGATGCAGACACACAGTGGTGTGAACCTTGTGTTTCCTTTAGTGCATCTTGTAAATCAATATCCGGTGCTTGTGGCAAATGGTTCTTTACAGTACTATATGTGTTGCATTGGGAAGATGGAAGTTTGATGTTTTGGGTTTCATTTGGGCTTTCCTGAGGTTGGTTAGCCTCTGTTTGCTTGGCCTTCATTGTAGTCGTGAGGTCAGTAAAGTCCTTAGCAGAAACACCCACAGAGACGTCGTTGACTGCAAGAGCAGCGTCATTGGCTTTTGTTGGATCAGTTGACACCAATGTGTTGACCTTAGCTGATGTAGGAGCATTCCGAACTCGACTTCTGAACTTTGGAAGGTGCTTCCTCAGACTTGGTGACGTCTGAATGGCAATGCTCTTGAGGACCCCTTGTGGTTTAGGAATAGTCAGTGAGCAATTAGTTAGGGTGCAATGCTTGGAGTATTGCATTTTCCCTTTGAGTGCTCCTGATCCTTGCCCAGACATTCCTTCACTTCTTGCTTTCATGGAAGATGCAGCATCCTCTTTGAAGTGCACCTGCTGGATCTTGCTTTTGCGCTGATGGATCTGCTGCACAACGTTAGCAGGAGGTCGACTTTCCTGCTTAAGTAGAACAGAACTTGCCTTTGGATTCTGCTGTGGGGCACGGTTACATTTCGATGTCTGCAGAAAATTGCTTTGCTTACGGCCCATCGTTTTGGGAAAAGCTGCAAAGCAGCAACCAATGAAACAGGTAGCTGGGGAAAAGTGTCATCTAAAGTTGATCAGCCAATGTAACTCAGGCTCAAAGTGCTGTGTAAATGCGCAACATCTGGCTCTACAGCTTGTGAGTGGTGATTTTCTCATCACTGTTGTCATTCGGGTCCATTATAGTCAAGGAATAAAACAAATGTGGACTCAGCTTTTATCAATGACATAGACGATCAATTCTTCTGACAATGACATCAAGTCAATTAATCAAGTCAATGGATGCAAACAGAACAGGAGAGGAGACGGGTATCAGTCTGTCAGTTTGGTCAAAGTATGTATGGGAAAGCAGGTCATGAAATTCAATGTTTGGACTTACGTGGCACCATAACAGTCGTGATTTAATACTTTGCAGTTCCATTCTCCCTTTGTAAAATGACTCTTAGGCAAATGTCACAAGTTTAACACACAGCTGCAGACTGAAATGTGTCTGCAAACTATTGACTCTGCAGAAGTTGCCATTTGTTTTAAAACAAAGCTAAAACTTCTTTGACATTTCCCAGGGCATGCTGGAGATCAGTACAGCATGGCAGCCAGCCAGACTCGCCAGCGCAAAAAGCACTCCCAGATGGGCACATTTCCCGGCAAGCAAATTGGTGCTGACTTATTGGCTTGTCTTTGGGCCCCTTCCATTCTATCTCACTTCAAGTCAGTAAAACCAATCGGATCACGTTACACAAACTGAAGGCTGTTCTTTGGTTATGATTCTGGAGTAGTGTTCATTGTTGATTCTAATTGATTTCTGCTTTGTAGCTCATGTTGCAGTTCATATTTCACCGTCATTCTTCAGAGTTTCTGAGTTGGACGGAGGCTATAAAAATTGTCGCTGGAGACTTGATAAAAGGAGATGGAACATTTGTACTGTACAGTTGCATAAAATCACAGCAGGTTTCTGGAAGGGAAAAAAAAACAAGTTTCAAGATTAACTCCAGCCTAACAAGTCTTGCTCATAGACAGTGAAGAATGCAGATGATAATTTTTGCATTTGGTGTAGTGTCTTTGAAGTTAATGACCAATTTATCTGAGGGATTGTTGGCCACGAAAAGCGAGAAACTTCTCTTTTCAAAGGGTGCCGTGGGATCTTTAACATCCGCCCGAACATATAGATGGAATCTCAGTTTACATCTCATCTGAAGGACAGCACCACTAAAAATGTAGTGTAACCCAGTAGTTTTATATTATATAGTATTGGAGTTTCAGGGTACAGCATGAATTCAATGTCCCTATTTAGGGCTTGAATCCACAACTCTCTGACTCAGAAGAGTGAGTTCTACCAACTGAGCCAGGCTCACACCTATTCCTATTGATGTATACTTCACCATATAAAAAGGCAAAGCTCCATTTCTTTCAATAAGCATATTCTCTACCTTGAAATTTCATCATCCTAAAGTTAGCAAAGGCTGACCTTGGCAAGTAAAAAAAAAGCTAAAGAGAATAGAGAGAGAGAAGGGGAAGGTGAGTGACGCAGTAACACAGTTAGTAAGACAGAAAGGAACAGAATTGAGCAAATCAATTCATTACACCACCTTTAGCAAATGTAATATACTTTGACTATTGAGAGATTCATGTCTATCTGGCCCAACTGGTGATGTGCATTTTCAGTTCCCACATGGTGACACTGAAATTAACAATATTTTTTGCATTTGATATAAATGCTGGCATCCTAGTATATCATTCTAGCAGAGTAGCATCAATCTAGCATCTATAATGTTGAAACATTTCAGAGCACTCGATGGGTAATTTCTGTCAAGTATAGTGACTGCTTATTTGTAGGAAATTAAATACCGACATACCAGCTATTAAAGTTACTCAGACTTACTACAATTATTAACTCCAAAATACACAAAATCAAATCAAAACAATTTTAAATAAAATGTTCCCTGTGCTTGTCCTGTGCTTCCCCCCCACCCCCTTACACCCTAGAAATATTACAGCAAAAGGAGGCCATTTTACCCATTCAAGCGCCCTCCCTGAAGCACCTGCTCAAACACCATTCCCTGCTTGTTCCTCACATACATCAATATTACTCTTCTTTAGGTATGTATCCAATTCCAGTTAGGAACTCGATTTTGAATGAATTCTTAACTATTCTCTCTCTGGCCATTTGTTAAACAATATTTAATAATTCATAGTTTACAATCTGTTTATTTTGTGGCACTTTCTTGCAACATCCATTTTGGAAAGATGGGAACATCCTTCATTTATCCAAAAAGTTTAATTGTCGTTGAAAAGATGAAAGGTCAATGAATGATCAACAGGGTTGGAATTGAAGGTGGAAATGGTGTCACATCACCCTCCCCCGGAAGCGATTGCCTGCAAATATACTTCCAAACTGTTCAAAACGATTCAATAGAAAATAATAAATTAAATGCAGAGTGTTCAGGAACAAAAACCATAATCACTTTAACATACAACGTACAATAGATTGTTTGCAGTACAGTCACGCATTGAAAGAAAGTTCTGGAAGCACCATACTTCAGGAGAAATTCATTGAAAAGTGCAGTGACTGTTTCTGTAGGCAAACATGGCACCAACCTCCCACAGATATCAGATAAATGACTGATTCTGTCTGGGGGATTCTTGGCCAGGACACAGGGAAACCGATTTCTCTTTTCAAATACTGCCATGAGATCTTTAATGTCCACCTGAAAAGGCATCAAGTGATCAACAAAAAACAGCATCACTGACAAGGCAGTACTCCCTCAGCACTGTACTGGAGCAACCTGATCTATAACTGAAGTCCAGACAGAAAGTCTACAGCATCTGTATAGCAAACATAAGTGAGTTACCAGCTTTCTCTGTGCTCCATCAGTTTGTTTCATGGAAACAAAAGAAGGCTATGCAAAAGAGAACAATTTGTAATCTATTGAAACCTAACTATAGAATGTCTCATTAAATTTACACAACACAGGGTTGAGTATAATTAATTAATTAGATCATTTATGGTGTCACTCGAGCTCTGGAAGTAGATCACATCAGAGCGGGTTGGGGTGATGTAGTTCTGGTTAGCGGAAAGGCAAACCCTGTTTGCGCAAGACTTCTTATTAAGAAATCCCCCCCCAAATTAGACCGCATTACTTGAGGATTTCAGCAGAGAGAAAACGACGAAGAGACGGGGAATCTGACATAAAACCAGAAAGTATTGGCAACGCGCTGCAGGGCCATCAGCATTTGAAAAGAAAAATGGGCTAATCTTCTGGAGGGCGTTTAATCAGAACACACAGGGTTACAGCCAAGGTGTTGAGCCATCATCCTCTTGCCTGCGGAACGATTCAGTCACGTTTCTGAGCTCAACTAGAAAACTTATTTCAACCCGAGCCAAATAAACAACTAATACACCTTAAAGCTCTTAACCTTTATCATAGCCTTATCACCACAGTCTCAACATATAAAAAGTTCAGTCTTTATTTGCGGACCATGGACAGGGCTAATGGGTGAGAGATGAATTGAAGCATATACTTACATACAGCAGTAATCCAGTTTATACATACAAACACATCTCATCTCCTGCTTTTCCAACGAGACGCAGTGTGAAAAGGATTTGTTTCGTGTTTTTTTTTTGGGGGGGGAAAAAAAAAAGGTTTTCCTGCAGTTCTTAATGTAAACGGGAGAAAAAGAGGCTTCCAAATCAAGATTGAACTGAAGGACTTCCCATCATCGCTATGCAATCTCAAATATTCTCAAAAGACTAATCGATAAGACCTGAGACCCCAAATACATGTCAGGTCTCACACACACTGTTGGGGAAAGGGGAGTGGGGAAGGGAATCAGAGGGTAGTGTCCTGACAGTAATCAGAGTAATGATGTCTCCTCGTTCCTGAGCCATTTTACATTACAATATAACCCGAACCCGAGAGTTTCACCACAAAATACACCGTCAACGAATCCACTTTACAACCCATCACACGGGGCAGTTTGAGACGTCTCAACGCCACGATCCGCCGCTCCGTTACATGACATTATTATTGTTATTTATCATCATTTACCTTCCAACGAATCCTTGAAACATCATCCCCTCGGAGTGCGCTTCTTGTTGTTGTTGTTGTTGTTGTTTTTTTTTGGTTGGTGAGGGGGGAGAAGGGGGGGAGAGAGGGGGAGAGGAGAGACCCCCAAGTCACTGAGATGGCGGAGGTGAGGAGGCGAAGGAAGAAATGTCAACGAGTTAAAAACTTGCGCGTCTCTTTATTCCACGTCCCCGCGGTCCCCACTCCCCGAGTCAGGGCTGTGGGGGAGTTATCATTAGGTCGCGATGCCCGGGGGGGGGGAGGGGGGGGAAGGGGGGAAGGGGGGGAGGGGGAGGGGGGGCGGGGGGGGGGGGGTTCGTGGTTCAAATCCCGTCTGTTTTTTTTCCCCTCTGGAATTCCTAACAAGATAGTAGTGCGAGAGAAAGATTTTTTTTTGGGGGGGTGGGGGGGGGGGTGGGGGGTGGGGGGGGGGGGGGGGGGGTGGGGTGGGGGTGGGGGGGGTCAACAACAACAACAACACACACCGAGAGAGAGAGAGAGGAACAATTTGGAGTTGGTCTCATACGTTACATTACATTACATTCCGGGGCTCCACGTGGGTGTCCGTCCCGTGGTTTTTGGTGACTTTTCACCTGTTTTTTAAATCGTCGAGTGGTTTTTGTTTTGGAAGGGCGTGAGGGTGAGGGGGTGAGGGGGTGAGGGTGAGGGGGTGAGGGTGAGGGGGTGAGGAGGGGTGAGGAGGGGTGAGGGTGAGAGGAGGTGTGAGGGTGAGGGGGTGAGGGTGAGGGTGAGAGTGAGGGGGTGAGGGGGTGAGGGTGAGAGTGAGAGTGAGGGTGAGGGGGTGAGGGGGTGAGGGGGGGGTGAGGGTGAGGGGGTGAGGAGGGGTGAGGAGGGGTGAGGGTGAGAGGGGGGGGTGAGGGGGGGGTGAGGGGGGTGAGGAGGGGTGAGGGGGTGAGGGGGTGAGGAGGTGTGAGGGTGAGGGGGGGTGAGGGTGAGGGGGTGAGGAGGTGTGAGGGTCCTGTTGATTTCAAGTTAGTGTATGATGTTCGCAATAGACTGCCTGCTCTGATCGTACTGGTAACACAAAAATATAGAGAAATGATTCCCTTCAGGATGATACTTGTTGCTTGAAGTTCTCCAGATCAATCAATACCGTTTTGCAATCAGAGTGATCTTCAACAGGAAACCTAATTGCAGGCATCTGCAACAATGCTGAATTACAGCCGAACACAAGACTGTTGCAATCAACGCACTCATCCATCACTGGCATGAATTGGAGTGCTCTAAATTATCATTGGTGATATGCAAATAAAACAAGTAATGGAATCAAAGATCTGAGCACAGAGGGAAGTTCATTAATCCATTCATCAATGGAAAGCTGCATTTGGCATCATCAGCCCCTGGTTAGGAGGGTGAGACAAAGTGGTTGCTCACAGTTATGCCACTTTACAGCGTATCCTGTGAAGCACTTGACAATGTGATGAGACGCAATACGCTATTACTATCCAGTCATCTCAGTCGGAGGTGGATGTTGGTAACAGGACCAGACCTTGACTACAATGCCCCCTGTGGTTAAAGACACTGCAACAATTTACACATGAATAATGTCCACTTGGGTGAGATATATGTTTGGAACTATACTTCAACAGGAACAAATGGGTGGTGGGAGTCATATGTTTGAAGAGACAGGAGGAAGCAGGGAGAAAATTGGAAGAGAAAAACTAGTACAAAAATTAATTTTAAATGAAATGGTAGCCTCACGGTGAACTGCCTTTTAATACAGTGAACTGCAAACCATTTATACAGGATCACAGTTCCATGGGAAACCTAAGAACCACCTACGTATTGAGACAGAGGGTTAAAATGTAAACCTGTTGATTTCAAGTTAGTGTATGATGTTCGCAATAGACTGCCTGCTCTGATCGTACTGGTAACACAAAAATATAGAGAAATGATTCCCTTCAGGATGATACTTGTTGCTTGAAGTTCTCCAGATCAATCAATACCGTTTTGCAATCAGAGTGATCTTCAACAGGAAACCTAATTGCAGGCATCTGCAACAATGCTGAATTACAGCCGAACACAAGACTGTTGCAATCAACGCACTCATCCATCACTGGCATGAATTGGAGTGCTCTAAATTATCATTGGTGATATGCAAATAAAACAAGTAATGGAATCAAAGATCTGAGCACAGAGGGAAGTTCATTAATCCATTCATCAATGGAAAGCTGCATTTGGCATCATCAGCCCCTGGTTAGGAGGGTGAGACAAAGTGGTTGCTCACAGTTATGCCACTTTACAGCGTATCCTGTGAAGCACTTGACAATGTGATGAGACGCAATACGCTATTACTATCCAGTCATCTCAGTCGGAGGTGGATGTTGGTAACAGGACCAGACCTTGACTACAATGCCCCCTGTGGTTAAAGACACTGCAACAATTTACACATGAATAATGTCCACTTGGGTGAGATATATGTTTGGAACTATACTTCAACAGGAACAAATGGGTGGTGGGAGTCATATGTTTGAAGAGACAGGAGGAAGCAGGGAGAAAATTGGAAGAGAAAAACTAGTACAAAAATTAATTTTAAATGAAATGGTAGCCTCACGGTGAACTGCCTTTTAATACAGTGAACTGCAAACCATTTATACAGGATCACAGTTCCATGGGAAACCTAAGAACCACCTACGTATTGAGACAGAGGGTTAAAATGTAAA